GAAGGAGGTATAGACAAAGTCCAGGCCTTTCCTACCCCCACAACTGTAGCATTGCTACAGGAGTTTCTGGGTCTTCTAGGCTACTAGAGAGTGTTTATACCACACTTGACACAAATTCTGAAGCTCTTATACCGGTTGGTACGAAAGGGTGTCAGGTGGCACTGGGATGAGACATGTGCATCTGCCTTTACTACAGCAAAACGGGCAGTCAAGGCCATGCAGGCCTTGAGTGTGATTGACCCATTGAGGCCCTGCGAGCTGGATGTTCATATCACTGAAGATGGTTATGGCTGGGGTCTCTGGCAGCAGCTTGAACGAACTCGCCAACCCGCTGGATTCTGGTCACAACTCTGGAAACGGGCAGAGGTACAATACACTTTGATAGAAAAACAACTGGCTACCGTGTATCATGTCTTGCTGGCTACAGAACCCATCACTGGAACGGCCCCAGTAAAGGTAATAACCACCTATCCCATCCTGGGGTGGGTACGAGACTGGACCCAAAAATCAAGGAGTGGTGTGACACAAACACCCACACTAGCCAAGTGGGGTGCTTACCTACAGCAGCGTACGTAGTGCCCTCTCTAGTAGCCCCTTGAGTGAAGAACTCCAACGCTTGTTGGAGCCAGTGACATATACTAGTGAAAAGTAGGAAGAACTTACTTTTGAACCATTAGGAGCAGAGAGTCCCTGTCGGGAGGGAAGAGCCCCTATACCCGAAGATGCATGGTACACAGATGGCTCCAGCCATGGGGAGCCCCCAAAATGAAGGGTCATAGGTTTCCATCCTAAGACTGAGACAATATGGATGGAAGATGATGAGGGAAGAGCAGCCAATGGGCAGAGTTGCAGGCTGTGTGGCTTGTGATCAGCAAGGAGCCCTCCCCTATAGTTGTCTGCACTGACAGCTGGGCTGTCTATCAGGGCTTGACCCTGTGGCTACCAACCTGGTACCATGCCAATTCGCTGGTTGGTCACTGACCCCTTTGGGGGCAAAAATTATGGCAAGACTTATGGGCCTGTGATCAGACTAAAATAATTACAGTATACCATGTGACAGGTCATTTGCCACTGGCATCCCCAGGAAATGATGAGGCAGATAAATTGGCCCAGATACGTTGGCTAGAAGGAAAGCCTGTCTCTGATGTAGCCCAATGGCTACATCAGCATTTGTTGCATGCAGGGCAAAATACAATGTGGGCTGTAGCCTGTTGGTGGGGCTTGTCTTTGACCTTTGAAGAAGTTAGTGGAGCCTGGCAGGAGTGTGTTGTGTGCTCCAAAAGGGACTTACTCAGAGTTCCACAGCAACATGGAACAATAGCTAAGGGGCCTATACCCCTCATCAGGTGGCACATAGACTATATTGGGCCTCTACCTGTGTCAGAAGGATGCAATGACCTGTGTGGACACAGCTACTGGACTTCTGGTTGCTTTTCTTACCCCTTGTGCAGACCAGCAGGTGACCAAAAGAGGCCTGGAGCATCTCTTTGCTGCCTGTGGCTGACCACAGGTGAGTGAGAGTGATTAGGGCACCCATTTTACTGGACACACACTGCAAGAATGGGTACGACAGCTGGGAATCAAGTGGAAGTTTCATGTGCCATACAATCCTTCCACAGCAGACATGATAGAGAGGCACAATGGCTTGTTAAAATCCAGACTAAAGTCAGATACCAATAGTCTGCAGGGATGGTCAGTCCGCTTATTGACCGTGCTACAGCGTTTGAATGAGAGACCCTGAAAGGGAGCTCTGAGCCCCATAGACATGTTAATATGGCTGCCTCCCCTATACAACTGCAAGTACAAACCAAGGGAGAATCACTGAAGCTGAGGTTTGGCCACCAAAATATCATCTTGCTGCCAGCACCAACTGCACTGAACCCCGGAGACTTCATTGAGTGGACGTGGCCTTGGACCTTTTGACTTATGGACCAACGATGGCTGGCTCTCCTGGCACCTTGGGGGCAAAGCCTGGAAGCTGGCTTCCTGTGTATTTCTGGAATAACAGCAGAGTGGCCCCCAACGGTCACAGTAGTATATCCTGAACGGCCAGAAGGTAGGAGCATCTTACCGGGGAGTTTTGTTTTATCATTGTGGCCAGTGCATGCACCTCCAGTAGCACTATATGTAGACACTTCAGTAACCCCCACGGGGAAAGGAGTAAAAGTATGGTATACTAGACCTGGAAGGGACCCCCTTCCTGCTACAGTCCTATCATAGGACCACTCTCTTGCATGCATGCATCCTACCTGATGGACAAGATTTGCCTATGTTGGTGACATTAAAACATGTCCTATCACCCCTAAAGTCTTTGTATTGGGAACTTCCTCTGGTTTGAGGATTATTATAATTTTTGTATCAAAATCTTGCTGTATCTTACTTTTTTATTATCTCTAAGTTGTTATCCTCTGTTGCTGTTGTGGAATCTGGTTACAGTGCTCCAGCTTTCTCGCACAGGGACCATTGAGGAAGATTGAAAGCATGTAGATGGTAAGGCGAGAATCCTGCAGGGGTGGAGTGTGGGAAGGTTGGGGTTCCTATGGCCAGGATCCTCACTGAACTTAAACCACCTGATGATGTAACTGGCCTGTTGCTGGGTTGCCACTTCCACATCTTTAGGCAATAAGCTATTATTGTGCTATATAGAGAGCTCGGCCCAGTGCTCTGGGTGGAGGCAGAGATGCTAGTGCTCAACCTACCACCGGAGAACAAGCTGGGTAATAAACCCTTTCACCTCAAAGAACGTTTTGCTGTCAATTTCTTTGGTCACACTGAATCCATAGCAAACTTGCCTGGGGCTGAAACCCATTGGCAAGACCATCTGTCAGACCAGCACACTCCTGCTGCCCTGCATGTTGTCTGGCCCCACAGACCCATAGGCAGTACTTGTGGACTGCCTGACCATTTGGCCATTCTCTAAGGGTCGTGAGTCCTGGCAGGTTTCCAAGGGCTGAAGCTCAGGGCAGAACTGTGGAAGGTGCATTGGTTCCCTGGCAAAACTGTGCCTTTTCTTACGTAACTGCTAAAATCTTTGCTCTCTTGGCAGAATCTTTTCCGAACGCATATAACAAGCACAGTTTGTTAACCATTTACCCTAAGCCATGCATGGGCAAAACTTGATGTGCATTATTTCATTTAAACTTCCAATAACTGTATCTCATTGGCACTATAGCTATTCCCCTTTTACAGATAGAAAACTATGGCTTGGCAGGGCTAAGCAACTTGTCTGCAGCCACAAAGCTGGTACACAGGCTAGGATTCAAATCCAGGCTAGTCTGATTGCAGAGCCTGGATTCCTCACTGCTGTACTATGACCTCTTCAGCTGGAGACTGTTCCTTCTAGTTCTGCAGGTGCTGTGTATTTGGAGGCTACAAGAAAAACTCCAGCACTTCATTCAACTTTCCCTTTTCTTTCAAACAGCTTTTAGTTAGTGTTTTGGGCTAATGGTCCTCGCACAATGTTTGCCTTTAACATGCTTTATTTCTTCTTTGACCCTTCATTTTTATTTACATATTTATTCCCTGTTAGACAAACCTTCCTAACTGCCAAACTCTGAATTTAATATATTTATGCCATGCTGCTGCCCCTTTCTTCTAATCCCCTTTCTAAACAAATTTTGTGATTACTTCTCTTTTTTAAAAGGAATTTTCTAACATACACCAAAGTAGAGCAATTAATATAACCAATATCTCCCCTTCTTTTATTATGAGCACTTTGTAAATCTTGTATCTTTTTCCCAAACTTCTTTTTTTTCCTGGAGTATTTTAAGGCAATTCACAGGCATGTCATTTCACCTGTAAATGCTTCACTTATGCATTCTTTTGTAAAGGTGTTCAGCAGTGACTTCTACATTTGTCTTAACCCATTTCATCATTCATTCCACAAGTGTTGAGTGCCTGCCGTGTGCTCAGTGCTGGGGAGACTGTGATAAGCAAAGCAGACATGCTGGCTGCCCTCTTGAGAGCTTGTAGCCCACTGGTGAAACCACAGAGTGATCACATTAATGCCTAATAACAAACTGTCATATGTTGTCCATTCTGCCTTGGGATTGTCTCAAGGCAGCAAGTGAGAGAGAATTCGTGAAGGCTGTAATTTGTAAAAAACTAAATGTATTTTTACCAAAGTTATTAACTTAGAATCGAGCTGTTCTAAATGGTTATTACAAAGAAAAAAACAAAGCAAAACAAACAAAAACAGTCCTCTGGTCCTCCCCAACCCCATTTCACGCTCCCTAGAGTAAACCACTTTCACTCCCTGTTTTGGTACCTATCTCCGTATTTCCAAATAGCATGGTAACTTTTGCTTTGCCTGTTAGGCATTATAAATTGATTTCACAGTTGAAGATGAACATTTGCTTCTGTTTCATCTGCCTCCCTTCCCCACTACTAATATACACTTTCTTTTTCTGTCTGCTCTTCAAACTAATTTCATCAACATTTTGGTTAGGTCAGTATTTAGTATATAATTTATTGTGATTATTCAAGTGCTGTTGGTAGCTGAGTTATGTAATGTACTATGATTACTTTTTCTTTCCTGTATAGCTGTTTGTTTTCCCTGTAGGTCATAACTGTCTTAAAGAAATTATTTACTATGTTTTCTATGCTACTTTAGATCACTAATTTGTTCCCACATTTTCTCCCAGGTGTATAACTCAGTGTGGTCAAATTCAATGGGGTGTTCAGCCAACGGAATCTTCAAGAAGTCTCTCCCAGAGTCCTTCAGGCCTGCAGGCTATGTTGGTTGATCTCTAGGCCTGTGGTATTGCTGCTTTATGGGGATCTCCCTTCCTCACCAGGCTGAGCATCAAGAGTCTCCTAAATAGCCCCATCTCAACTTCACAAGCCTTTCCAGTGACTTCTCTACCCCTTTACTTGCTGTCGCAGCCCACTTCTCAAAAGACTTGCTTATTCCATTGAGGCAACTTATGGCCTGGAAAATGAACGGTGAGAGGTAATTCTCAGTCTAGGCACAGAGCAGGGACTCAGATAGTTGCCCAAAGTCCACATTGGAGTGAAAGCATAAAAAGAAAAAGAAACCAAAAAACTTTCAGTCATGTATTGCTTCCTGGAGAAGGTGGGATTTTCAGAACTTACTGAAATGACATGTCCTACTTTCTCCTGATTATATACTATATGATCTTTATTGAAAATGAGGAAAAGCATCAAAAACATACATCTCTTTTTGTAGTGATTCAGCTGTTAACATTTTTGTTTATTCCTACTCTTTTTCCATGCATATATGAAATATGTATTTTTAGTAAAAACTGGAATTATGTTACAAGAAATACCAAATGAGGTAAAAGTGGCTCTTTAAATAGTAAGCTTGGGGGTGGTGTTGGTTAGCTGGTTGCACAGCTCTCTGGGGCACTGTTCACATGTTCCATAGCAGGCCTGAGCTAGGAAAGGACCCTCCAGACATAGCTTGAGAAACTGATAAATAGCATATGTCTTTTTATATCATTTAAAAATATCACCTCCATTATCCTGTTACCAGAGATACTGCTCACTTTTCAAAGCTGATAAAACTGCATTTTCCATTACTTTTGGTAAGAACCTAACTCACAGTTAAGCTAACAGATACTTCTTAACAGCATGACCACTGTCCAACTTCATTATCCATTAGAATAAAACAAAACAAAAACTGGGCTGCACTATTTCCAAAAATGAGAGAAAAAAAATAAGTAAAATGAAGAACCAATTAGCTAAGGAAGCCACCAAAGAAAGTTGGAACACAAGGCTTTCTCCAAATGTCCATGAATTAAGCTGCTTTTATAGTAAAAATCCCCAGACGGAAAAATATGTGGTTTATAGTTTTGCTTTATGTAGCATTAACTCTGAAAGTTTCTCCCAGCTCTTTAAAAGACTTCAAATTCCTATATAACTTTAACTTATGAAGATAGCAAGTTGGATAATGATGGCCAAGAAACCATTTGGCAGAGACACACTGACAAGGAGTAGTCTGTTCTGTGGTAGAAAAGGCAGCCTCTGTTCTTGGCTAAGGGCCATGTTCTGAGACACTATGGTGATAAATGGAAAGCTTGTCAGTAGACAATTGCCTGTGCTTTAAGTTTTTAAGCAGTTTAGTAATTAGCTCCAAATTAGGAAATTAACTGACAATCAAAGCTCTAGAGCAGGAAAACCCATTATAGCTTTTCCAAATCTTTAGAAGAAAAAGTTGTAGAACATTATAATAACTTTTCGTAAGGCTAGGATTAGAAGAATTGACTCCTACCTGGAAATATGCTGGAGGCTATTGTTTGTGGATGTAGGGGCTCAAAGGCACCTCCCTCAGGGAGAAACTTTGTGTTTGTTTTACTAAGAGCTTTAATGATCTCTGAACTCAACCCCACCGCACCCTGAACACCAGCGGAATAGCTGAATGGTGACACCTCATAGGTCCAGGAATAGAAACCACACTGTTCAGTTCACTAACAAATGTCACATTTTGCTCAGATGCTAATGAATATTCTTCCTCTCTTCAGCTTTCCTGTATTTCTTGAGACCAGTTGTGGTATTAAACTGTCAACATATCTCATATAGTTATTTTCATGTATGCTGCCTTTGGAGTGATGACAGATGCTGTGAGGCAGGAACCAGCCTTATACTTAACTGCCCCACAGTGCCTACTGGAAATGTCTTGTACATAGTAGGTGTTCACAAATATCAATTGGATATATTTTAGGGAGCAGGCTGAGGCACCAGCCAAATGTAGGTCAAGCCATGTCTAACAAAGTGTGTCGCATCTACAGTAAAAAGGATGGCCAATCTTGGGCCATTCGGAATTAAGTGATCATCCCCCTAAATATCATTGACTTCAGTTAGCATTCCTTGTGAAGATGTGGGCTTTTTATTTATCTCTGGAAATTTCTATCCAGAGTATTCAGGTTTCCTCATGGAAAAATTTCTTTTAAAACAGCATGTTTTTCAAATATCATGCCAGAATGTATCAGGTACCTAAAATAGTGATTTTTTTTTTCCTGTTTCACTTTCACGTTTGTGGAAACCATCTACTGGGTAATATTTTTTTAAGGGTCGTTTTCCAAAAGCCCTCTCACTCTATCTTGAATGAATATTACAATACAGAGAATTGTTATAAAATTTTAGAGAGGGAATGTTCTTATCAAGAATTATGGCTAAGCTTGTCCTAAATCTGAAATCCTTACTTTTCCCAACCTTTGAAATCAGGCATTTTTGCAAACTTTGAATATATGTTAATTGATCTGGACAGCTTCAGCTGATTGGAGTTCTGAAGAATTCCAAGTTAATCTACCAGGTCATTTCTACAGACACTTTGGGGATGCCTTGTGGTAAACAGTGTGGAAGTTCTAAATGGTTTTTGTGAAAAGGCTGCCAGAAAAGGGAAACCTGCTAATAAAAAGGAGAACGATACAGTCTGAAGTCTACTAATTGTAGAGCAAAGAATAAAACAGGTGCTGGAGTAAAATGAGGTCACAGCTGGCAGTGGACAGCAGTGATAACTTACTGAGGCCAGGCTGAGCTGTTATAACCAGATTTTGATACAAAGGGGCATTGCCAGAAGAGTCCTCTGGAAATACGTGGTGGAGTCATAAGAAATAAATCTGCATTGATTTAAGTGGCAACCTTTGGGAAACACCGATTCACACAGAATGGGGAGGAACTGACCCTTGCAAAAGATACATTGGTTTTCATCCAGATGTATTTGGTCTTTAGAAAATTATGGCTCTATTTGCTTTGCAGAAGTGTCAAAGTGTCCAAAAGAGATTTATTTCACTAGGTGGGTTACCTACTAATGAAGGCCATACTGCTTATGCAAGGATGATAGATTTAAACAGGTGTACTCAGAACTCTATTTAAACACAATGATTGCTATTTGTCAGGTGTATTGTTGTTTCCTGTATGACTCTTTTCTCTAGTTGTTACCTGTGTCATTTTCTGAGATGGGCTGGCCTCCCTTGAAGGTCCAGTGGCTGGACACAAGACATAGTAGGTTCAGTTTGGAGCTTCAGCCAAAATGCCTTTTTCTTCCTTTTCTCTACTTCCCTCTTCCTGTGTCCTGCTTACTCTGCACCTTTCTCAGCTGCTTCTTACCTGAAAGCTGGCTCAGGCCCAGTCCCTGTCTAGTTCCATAGAAGAGTCTGCAAAGTTACCAGTCAGTTTTCTCCCTGTGCTCCAGGCTCCCTCTTGCCCTTCCTCAACCCTTGACCACCACTGGGATGGTAGCTGGAGGAATGAGGAAGTGAGGAGGACCTGGTGCCTTTTTCTGTTTGTTTAGGTTGTCACAAGCATAAACACAATTAGAAATTTTATCTGAGAAGAATATCCTGAAAAGGATGCTGTGTGACTTCAGGCACTATGTGCCCTCTCTGAATGTCGGTCTCCTTCCTCATAACCCTCAGTGCAGATTCTTAACACTGGCTGCTGGCTGAATAGGGTACTGAACATCTCTTCCATTTCACCAAGGAACGCCCAGATCAGAAACAAGACTACACCTGAAAGAGCATTTAAAAGAATCACATTGCTATGCAAATGCCAAGAAGTGTTCAAGCTCATTTCCTTCCTATCATCAGGTATGGCACTTCCAGTTGAGATGTTCACCAAGGCCTCTCTTCCCAGATAGTCCAGCTTTCCGACTGTTAAATCAGTATTCCTCAGTTGTCATTTTGAGTCCACAAGGATTAACGTGCTTACTGTACGCCAGGCTCTGGGAATACAAAAGTGAATAGGACACCACTAGAATCAAAATACATCTTCGCTTAAAAACTTTAATGGATTTTCTATTTTCTGCTTTATGTCCAGTACCACCTTCCCATCCAAACATTTCCCACCTACCCTAAGCCTTCCAGTCTTGCCAGCCTTCAAAGCACCATAACCTAGGGCCCAGAATACCCTGTTTTCTTCCCATGAGTCTGTTCAAACCCAGTTGAAACCTTCCACGGTGGGATTGGGTGCCCTCCAGGGGAATAGGCACCAGCAAATCTTCTCCATTTCATTCTGACTAGCTCCTAATGAGGAAGCTCAACTTGGGGAAGAGGCTGAGATGCCAAACAACTTGCCCAGAGTCACCTGCTAGCAGGTGATGGAGCAGGGACTAGAAGCCACTCTTGTCACCTCTCCTGGGAGGACGACTTCCCTTCCTCTCTTCTGTACTCGACAGGCAGCACACAGGAGGCACCTGTAAATCTTCCCTCCTGCTCCATCCACACAGTTTGGCTCTTCAAAGACATCCCGTGTTCCCCCGGACTGACCTAGGAAGATGAAGTTCCATCTTAGCTTGTGATCAAGGCTGGCTGGTCCCACCTGAAGGGAAAAGAGGAGGCACTGAATGGAGGCTTCAAAAATAATGTTTTAGTTGTAATCACAAAAGAGAACAACAAAAAGCCAATGAAGCAACATGGAAAGCACTGCCACAATGCCCTGCCCCCTTCCCTCCAAATACCCCACCACCCAGAGATGACCACAAGGTTCTAGGGAGGGCAGATTGGCCTCAGACCTGCCAAGGGTTCCAGCCCTCTCTTTCAAAGGGCAGCAAAGGTCATATACCCCACTTTTGCTGGAGGGAGCACTCTCCCGGTCCTGGGAGCTGGAGACTCAGGAAAGATGTGTCAGAGGGAAAAGGATGGAGAACCGGACACCAGAAAGACGTTGGGGGAGACCCAGAGAGGAAAGGAGAGAACTGGAGCTCCGGCAGGGGCAGAGCAGGGGGTGGGGCAGGGGCACCAGAGTGCCTGCGGAGTGGCCGCCCCCGCCCCGCCCCTCCACTGGGGCCCAGGGCCCTCCCCCTCCTCTTCCTATTCCTGCTCCTCCTGCTCCTCCGGTGTGGACGGCGGCCGGCGGCGGAGCCCCAGCAGTGCTGCTGGTGAGTGACCAGCCCCAGGGAACAGACGGGGAGGCATGGGGAGCCCCCTCTCGTGGATGGGGCCACCCCCAGTTGGCTGGGAAAGTTTGCGCGCAGGAGTTCGGACGCCCCCGGGTCGCGGACATCCCCCTGGGCTCGCTAGGCGCGCGGCGCGCGGTACCACGTCTCCCTCCACCCTCCTTCCTTGCCCCCAGGGGTGCCCAGGGCCTTCCCCTCCGCCCCCCGACCCCGGGCTGCTGGGACCTTGGTCCGGCTCTAAAGAGAAGGAAAACTCAGCAAAAAACCTCCTAGACTCAGGTTTGAAGGCGGGGTCCGCGGCTCCAACAAACCCCTGCGCACTCCCTGCCTCCCGACCTGGGTCACCAGCGCCCGTCCTCAGTCCCTCCCCCTGGGGCTCTGGATCCCCCTCACCTCCAGAACTCAAGCCTTCCAGGTCATCCCTGGCTCCTGCTGTTGAGGCTGCCGTTTCCCGCTTCCCCCAGCCCCCTTTCAGGAGAGGCTTGTGTATGCCAGGCTCCAGCTACAGCTGGTGTCTCCAGGCCGGTGTCCCTTCCAGCGCTAGAAGGTGGCGGCCCAAGCCAAGGGGCCTCGGCCTCAGCGGCCTCCACACTTGCCCAAACATTTCTTGCAGGAATGCCGTTCGTGGGGCTTTGGTGTTGGATCCCTGGGCCCACACCACAACTGGACCTTGTGAGTCCAAGGGGAAATTAAATATATTCCTCCTTAGTGTTTTACTATTTCTGTTGGTCTGGCTTCTTTTATTAAAAACCTCTCTAACTATGCTTACTTCCAGTAATAATACTTCATGTAATTAGCCTAACTCTGAAAAAAAAAAAGCCTGGAAAAAGTAATAAAATAAAAGAAGGTAAATAAAAAGAATGCTTGCTAAAAATGTGCAGAACCTGATCTTTGGAAAGTTAAGACTTCATTCCACACTTAACTGTTTTAATGGGAGATGGGAATTCTGTATAGCTTGTTTTCAGACTACCCCCAGACAGGCTCTTATGGCCTCCTCCGGGGCTAGATGTTTAATTTGACACAAACCACAGTGTTTGTTGGCATTCCCCAGCTAGCATACTCTGCATTCTCTCCCCTTCCTGCAGCTCCTCCATCTCTCTCCCAACTCTCCCATCCCACTTTCTCATAAACAGGGGTTGTGAAAACAAGGCAATGGAAGAGGCTAAAATGAGCAGGATCACAAAGAAAAAGCAGCCACACTTATTTTAATCCTGAAGCTGTTCCCTCAGCTTTACTCTGATTGGGTGGGAGAGTGTTTAGTTCATTTGTGTGGTTTTATGTCAGCTCTCATTATGGTTGAATCAGTGTTTCCATGACAGGCTTAGTTCTCTGGGTGCTTAAAAGGAGAATGTTAATTCTCAGATGGGTCTGGGCAGAACAAGCTTGGAATTTGGAGGGTTTTCTTTTTTAAGGATTGATCTGGGTTTATATTGCAAGCCTTTGCCACTTACTCAGAACTGGAGCAGCAGGAAGCGAGGAATGGGGAAGGGGACAGCCTGAGCTGGGGTTTGCTTCCACATGACCTAGGAAGAAAAAGCTCTAAGGAGAGCTGTGTGAGCAGGCTTGCAGGGGGTGTTGAACTTGTATTGTTTTTAGGGAGAATGCACTTCTCAAGAATTTTAGCCATTCCCATTTCTGTATGAACACTAAATGTGGTTGTAACAAATGTATTAGATCAGGTTTTGAAAAATCTGTCAAAACAGGTCAAGGTATTGAACTATGTGGAATAATATTTTTTAAAAAGTAGATTTCATTGGAAATAAAGGAGTCTGTTTTTTAAAGGATGTAATTCGTTTTCTTCACTGATTCAGTTTGATAGTTCCCCACTAGTATGAATTAGTAAGGTTTTACTCTCAAAATATCATTGATAAGTAATTATTGCGACCTCCATTCAAATAGAAAGCTTTTCAGTTTTGAGTTTGTTTGGCCCTGTTGCTTAGAAAAATAATGCACTCAGATAAAAATCTTCAGTCTCTTCCTCTTGCTTAGAATTTTTAATAGTGTATTGAATATCCTAGAAGTCAACCTTATACTGTTTGGAAAGAGATCCCTTTCTGCCTTGTTCAGCCTTTGCACTACCTCATGGAATATTGTTAAACTGGGTGGTTCGCCATCAGTCAGGAGGGCTTTCTCGGCAATCCCAGATGCTGGAGTTGGGACAAAGGCCAATAAGGTTCCCCTGACCCAAGGAGCAGGTGATCTGGATGGTGAGATGAAGGCTGCATCCCCAATTAGCCAATAGACAGCAGCCATTTATCATCTGAATGGGTCATATGAGTTAGAAATCCATGAAGTGTGGACCCTGCAAAGACGGAAGGTGGGCAAGGGTCATTAAGGAAGAAAATAACCTAAAGGAATACAATGTGGCCTTTTAAAATCATATAGTACAAGAATATTGAATTACATAGGATAAGCTTAGGGTATGGTGTTAAATTTTAAAAGCAAAGTATGAAATTTTAAAAGCAAATTATGCATATGAAATTATATGCATTGAAATGGATGGTGGGATTATAAGTGCTTTTGTCTTTCTTTGTGCTTATCTCTATTTCTCAACTTTTTCAAATATAGTATTAGCTAACATTTATTGAGTATGAAACATTTACAAATGGTATTTCATTTAAAACTCTTTGAGGTAAGTATTTGTTATTATTCTCATGATATAAGATTCAGAAACTGGAATCAGAAGGGTTACTTGCCAAGATTGCATGGCCGCTGCATGCTAGAATCAAATCTTAAATTCAGGTCAGTGGCCAAAGTCTATGCATGTCAGTTGTTACTGACTACCATCTCCCTGCACGTATATTATTACTATTTTAATTATAAGAAAAATAAGAAAAGGAAAGGGAAAGTATTTTGTACCTTGGGGAGAACTGATATTTTGATTAATTATGAAATGCCTCTGTCTTCCATCTCCTATGGTCACTTCTCTTTGGAAGTCCTTTGAAATTACTCCAGATGTAGCTAGAGTTAGCTTATCATCTCTTGGGAGCCCTCTGCTCCCACAAGAAGTATCCAGAATTTCTTGGAGCTTTCCAGCCAGTGTGGTGTTCCAGGAGCTCCATGGGATTCTGGAGCAGTTCTGGTAGAAGGCAGGATTTTTAAGGTACATCAAGCAAATTATGTCTTCAGAGTTCTGCTAATAGGAGCTTCCATTGTTCTTGGCCTTGTCAGGGAAGTGTGATGGCTAGGGAGACACAGGGAGAGCTCCCAGGCTCCTGTTCACCTCACTTACATGTTTCGTGGAATGTCACCATGGGTAGGCCAAGGATTTTCCATGCAACAGGGAAGAAAGAAAATAGCTTATTGCCTCTCAATACTTTTTACTGTGAAATTATTATTGTTGTCTAGTGGTTTAGTCCCACATTGTGTATAGTCCTTCCTATCTCTGCAATTAGTCATTATTTTTGTTATTTCTACTTTCTTTCTTTTTACAGTCAAAATTTATTTAAATTTACCAATTCCTTGTTGCCTTACATATCCCTTCTGTGTTAATTTTCTTCATATTGATAATTTTTTCAGTGAGAGTTTTTGAGTTGTAGTATCCAGTCTTGTGGGTATTTTGGTTTTGTTTTGTTTTGAAAATGAATGTATGTCACCCATAAAAGATAATTTATCAAGATGTAGAATGCTGGATAGATGTTTTCCCTCAGCCCTTTGTAACATGATTCCATCTTCTTGTCTCAATTGTTCCTTATGAGAAATCTCTTTCAGTTTGTTATTCTCTTGTAGATAATCCATTTTCTCTCTTGGAGATTTCTGTCTGATTTTTTTGTCTTTTGTGCTCTGTCTTATGTGTCCACGTAGAGTCTATTTTTATATATCTTGGAATTCAGTCTGTTTCTTTAATCTGAAGATGTATCTCAGTTTTCGGATCTAAACGTTTCTCAGTTGTTTTCTCTACAAATTTATTTTAAAATAATTATCCAGGACTTACCATGTGTCAGAAATTCTTCTAGGTGTTAGAGCTATAGGAATAAACATAAAAGATAAAAAAAGCCCCTACCCTTATACTGAGTTCCTCATATTCTGTTTTCTCCTTCTGGAACATCCAGTCACCTTCTCATATTATCTTCTGTGTCTTCACTTAGACTTCTCTTTCTTACTATATATCTCTTTATCTGTCAACTGTATTCTGAGTGATTTTTTCAGTTCTGTTTTCCAGTTTTTATGTTTTTCTTCAACTGCATTTAGTTTTACTGTTCAAAACATCCATTAGCTTATTTTTTTAATTTAATGTCTAAATTTTTTATTTCTAGCATTTCTGCATTGGTACTTGAATCTGCCCATTCTTTTTTTTTTAAATGGTCTCTTTGCCTTACAATTTCTAGTCCTTTTTGTATCTCTTTCAACATTTTAAACATACTTTTGTTTCCTTACTATCTCCACTTTTGACTTTATTTCTGATGAGTCATTCCCTCTTGTGCTCTATATTTTCATCAGGAGTTTTTTTCCATAGAATCATTTCTACATCCTAATGAAGCAATTTCACATTTCTTCTGCTGTTGCTCTTTGGGTTTTACCCATTCTAACTTACCCTTTTTGTGAATTTCTTGGCACATAGTTCCTGTAAGATCTGGTTGTATACATTTAAACCCTGTTCTCGCATTGTGGTATAAGCCTGGGCTTCAAAAATTTTTAAGTCATTCGTTTTCTGCTTTTCTCCACAGCAGATGACAGGCTTTTGTGTGGTTTCCTCAGGTTGGCAAATGATGTTCCTTTAGACCTATTTCACCTATAAATCAGTCCTTTGTAACATGCAGCTTATGTAAGTGCTTCACTAAGAGCTCCTGGCACAAGGTGGCCATCACCTGGACTCCCGTCACTGCATGACAGTCATTAAAATCTCAGCCTCCAGCCATCCAGTCCTCTAACTGTTCTGGATAGTGCCATGAACCCCTTGGCTTCAGCTCCCACTCTTTTATCTAACTTTGATTTCCCTCTTTATTTTTGATACCGGGAGATTTGATACCAGGAGATTTCTATGTTTTTAATACATTTTTTGTTATATTTTTATTCAGTGTTTTTAAGAGTTTGGATTAACAAGGATAATTTCTTGTCAACCCTAATAGATCATATTGACTGAGGTTTTTAACTACTACTTTTAAGGTTTAGATTTAGATATGTGTTATTTTGTTATGTGTAAAGTAGAATACAAGTAAATAAATGCATATACATCAATCCCTGGATGTGAAATACACTGCTGCTGAGTGAATACAACAGAGAAGAGCCCTGAAAGTACTATGTGTTAACACTGCCACCACAGGGGACTGTGCCTCCCTGGTGTGGTGTCTTATTCTCTGACCACATGCTTTCAGCCCAGAAGAGATCTGAATTTCCCAAATATACTGTTCCAGTCCCCAAGTGCTGTCTTTCAGTTCTCTGTAGTAGATTAAAATCTTCCCAAGATCAGCCAGCATCCTAACTCACATTATGTTGAAAGGAAAACAGGTTCCTGTTCCATTGGGTCGTGGAGGTGAGGTTCTCTCTCTGCAAGTGTATGTTTACTTGAACAG